CGGGGGGGGGGGGGGGGGAGTGGACACGCACAGCCCCTGGCAGGGGGAGATCGGAGTCAGCTGCAGCAGAGGGAGGGTGGCTCCGGGGCGTGCTGGGGGTGGTGGTGGTGGATGCAAAGAGGCCAGGGTGTGTGTGTGTGTGTGTGTGTGTGTGTGTGTGTGTGTGTGTGTGTGTGTGTGTACACATAGAGAGCTGAGGTGACAAAGTGCAGGTGCCCCATCTGGGTGTGGGGCTGGTGGACGTGACGTGTCAGGGAGGAAGCGCGTCTTGCTGTGGGGAACAGTGGTGCTGGCCCTGCAGGGGCACTTGTCCTGCAGGAGGGGCTCATGGCAGGGGTGCTCGCTCTCTGTGCCTGTCCCAGGACGGCTGGTTGTCCTTTGGGACCTTCCATCTGCCAGAGGGGGGAATTGGGGCCTGGCTGGAACTTGCCCAGCAGTGGCACAGTCAGCAACACAGCAACCCTCCCCAGTTTGGCAATTCAGTCAACGAAACTGGAGCCAAGAACCCCCCTGCTCTGGGAGTGGCCCAGTCCCCCCGGCCCAGCATCCCGAGGGTATGTGGGACTGGTGTAAGTGCTGCTGCCATGACAACCGCCCCTGACATGGACCAGCCAACTCTGAGCCTCCCCTTGGCCCATGCAGTCCGGTGTCCTCTGGCGGGGGGCAGCCCTGGTTCTCTGCTCTTGGACCCCAGCCTTGTGCATGATGGGCTCACTGCAGCCTCTGCTCTAAGTCATCCCCCTCTACACCCATCCATCACTAGCCTGTGGGACTCCCTGCCACAAGGTCCCGAGCGGGCTGGAAGGGGAGGCCTGGCACCTACCGCTCTGGCAGTATCGGGGAGATAAAACAAGCTCCATGCCTACCTAATGGTTAGAGGTCTCCTGCCTCTCCTCCGATGCACATGACGCGGGTCCTTGCAGGCTGGAGGAAAGTTCTGCTCCGGTCCAGCGAAGCTTCAAAAATCCCTGGAAAGGCTGAGCTGGTGTTTGCCTCTCAGCCAAGCCCAGGGGAAACTCTTTTCTCCTCCCCAGGGCTTATCCGGGGATGCTCCGCGCTTCCATGGCCGTCCCTCGCCCTAGCGCTGCTCCAGTTGGGCAGCCCAGCTCCCTGAGACGTGGAAAGTTTCCTCTTCTCCCCTTGCCCCCCTGGGAAAACAGGTTCTGCCCCGGGGCTGCCGAGCTGTGACAGCTGGCACGTTGCTGGGGGCTTAGCCAGCCAAGGCATCTTAATTTAAACTGCTACTTAAAACGGCTCTGGCTGCCTTAGCAGGATCTGGCAGGCGTGTGCGGGATTTGGTGTCCTTAGCCGGAGCAGGGGGTGCTGGGAGCCGCCATGTTCCCATTGGTGTGTTTTTACACTTGCCTCGCACCGAGAGCAGGACACTGCGAGCCCGCTCGGAGCTTTGGGGGGCCGAAGGAGACAGTGCCTGGAGCGTGAACGTGGAGCCTTCTTGGCACGGGCCATGCACGTGGCTGAGCGGATGCACAATGGGTCGCTTGCATCTGTACAACTGCACGTGCAAAGGAAACGCCTGGGTGCACCCACATTTCCTGCATGAACCCAGCTCATCCTGGCAAAGGTCTGTAGCACCCTGTGGGATGCCAGGTCCTGCTGCCTGAAGGAAGCCAGTGGCTCCTCTTTCACCTTGCTTTTTCAAAGCTTCTCTTTCCCAAATCAGGGGGCCAGGGCAGCTTGTGAGGGCCCAGCAGATGGAGGGTTCCCCCCAGAAGCTGTTAGTTCAAATCCTGCTTGGGGCAGACCGGAAGCTGTGAGCCTCTCGTGGCTAAAAGTGCACCTCATGTGTGACTTGAGCTTGATGGGTCTCAGTGCAGACAGGTGTCTCCACTGGTCAAGTGACTGTCCCATTCAGTGCTACTGGGTCCCCTTGTTGGGTGCTTTGGGGGTGAGGGGCAGGCCTGGGAGATGAGACTCATGAGGGCAGGCTGAGCTAGGGGACGGGGCAGGGTGTGGGGAGCTATTTCTGTTCCTGTCACTGTTCCAGGGCCCTACTGACGGCTGGAAGGGGGGATGTCTCCATGAGGAGGGAACGGAGCTGAGTCTTGGGCTTGAAAAAGGTCTCCTAGCCACACCCAGCAAGGCCCTGCCCCTATGTGCTTTGTAGCCCTGGGCTGGGAGACAGGGGACCCTCTGTCCCTGGGATTGGGGATGCCGAGTGGCGCCCGGAGGCACAGCCGCTCACTACGGCATTGGGCAGGCTGAGGAGATGAGAGGCGGCCCCTGAGCCGCCCAGGGTCCCTCCTGTAACAACAGGAGGCCTCTGCAGGCATTACGTAAGGTGGCAAAAATAGCGCCTGGCTGCTGCAGCCCCTCTGGCCTGAGTCTCCTGCCTCCCAGCGTAGGAGCCTGGCCCGGGTGACGCAGGCCCCTGCCTGGCGAGCCGTGTGCTGCTGTCAGGCCTTTGCCTAACCTTCCCCAGCCCTCTTATCACAAGAGCAGGCCTGGAGCGGCTTTAGGGCTTATGGGGTTATCGCAGGGAGCTGCGTGTTATAATCTGCAGGCAGGAGTCTCTGAGCAGGTTATGTCACAGTAGAGACCTTGGGAAGCCTGGCCTGTCCACCGCCCACAGGTGCATTTGCTTATTATAGCTCCGGCACTTGCCCTGCTGCAGGCCGGCCATTGCTGGGCGCTCTGGCAGCCTGGAGCCAGTGGGGAGGGGCACCTGGAGGGCTTGCTGGTCTGCACGGATCCTGACACGGCCCTGGAGACTGCTGCAGCGCGAGGCAGCCGGGGCAGCTCCCAACAGGGACTCAAGGATGTGGTGGGTGCCAGTCTCAGTGCTGCCGCTGACTTGCCTTCGCACCTCAGCTCCCCCGTCCGAAGCCAGGGGGGACGATGACGCCAACCCCCTGTGTTTGGCCCGCGCCCACTGTGCCGGCACACAGCGGGGCAGCTCGGAACCCGAATGGGAACAGGGGGGGCGATAAAACGGCACCATGTCCAGGAGAGAAGCAAGCCTTTCCCTGCCCCAAGTGTATTGCGTGACAGTGGCCACGAAGGGGTGCCACAGGACAAAGCCAGAGAGCCGATCAGCCAGCTGATGGACTGTGAATAGGCAGTGGCTGGATAAGAGGCAGCGTCATGCGCCCTGTGACTTGTCCATCCTTCCCGGTTGTCACGAACGGACCTCAAGCCACTTGCAACAAGAGATCCTTGGCAGGCAGGCTGGGCCTTCCCTGCCCGGCCCTGCTCCGCCCCCTTCCTCCCTCAGCACAGACACAAACATGCAGGGCCTGAAATATTCGCGGCCTTGTTACAACCGGTGCCTCGTCTGCCCTAGACGGCGCTGGGAAGCCGAGCACCGAGTGTGTTCGGGCCAGCGCTAGCGCGCAAACAGGAAAGCTTGGCAAAGGTTCAGTCAGTAGTGGAGGCGGATGGAAGGGGCTCAGAGGAGCCCAGACATTGTGGCTTCTCTCCCCCTGTCTGGGAAGCTCCAAAAGGGGCCTCTGGGGATGGGAACACTGAAAACCACAGAAAGGGACGGCCTCTGCTCCACGGAGCTTCTCCACTCCATGAGGAGAGACGTCGCAGCCGGGCCGAACTGCTCCTTGTTTCTTGGCCCGTGACACGCTGACTCTGCGGGTCTTGGTCCAGGGCTTAGTGCACGAGTCCCCATGGGACAGTTTGGTGAGAAACCAGGGGCAGGGCAGGCCACAGAGACTGATCTTCCCGCCTGTCCCTCGTGGCTCTCAGGGTACGCATAGGGCATGATGCCTGGAGCGTGAGCGGCTCGAGAGAGCCATGAATAACCCCCCCTTCAGCCCCTGCGGGCATGCAAGGGTCAGCCCCTAGCAGGGCTTTGCTCTGCACACTGGGGAGGGGAGGCACAAGGGACGTGTGATGAGGGTCATTGCAGGGCCGTCGTTAGCCAGGCAGATTACACCCTGTGCTAGCAATTGCGTATTGCAAAAGAAGTCAGAGCCAGTGGTGGCAGTGACAGAGCTCACAGCAGCCACAAGGTGGCGCCAATCGCCAGCCACAGGAGAGAGCATCCTCCGTTGTCTCCTCCTCGTGCTCAGGGACCCCACTCCAGAGCCCTGGTGCTAGGCGCTGTACAAACACGGAACAAGCCGACGGTCCAAGCTCTGAGGAACTCACAGGAGGCCGAAAAAGGAGGCTGGTCTCAAAGCTCCAGAAAGTCCAGCCTCACCGGGAGGTTGCCCCAGCGTCGCTCCCTGACTGCAGCTCGTCCGTGGAATCCCCCAGGACAGACCATGTTGCACCGTCGTGATTTTTCCTGGTAATACCCCGGGGAAATGCCCTGGTGCAAACCGGGCCTCTGCTTTAGGGGTGTGCATCGGGGTGACCCAGACATCTGTAGCCAGGAAAATTCCCCTGGCTCGTGTTTGGAGCAGCTGGGACCGGCAGGCTGCATCAAGGGAGAAGGAACGGTTCTGTGGTTCTGAGGGGACAGTTTGGTCTGTCCTCGGCATTGGAAACAAAGCCCAGCCCGGACCCTCCCAAGGCCTAAGGAGCAGGAGGGCGTTACCCCCCTGTGCAGGCCGAGGCACCATGAGGTGGTGAGCAGTGCAGCCCTCGGCCCCTGCCTCCCCGCCCTGTGCTCCGACTGCTCCCTTTTGCCAGCTGTCCCCTTGCATTCCCCCATGCTCCGGGCAGCCCTACACACAGCTGCCTCCGCCTCGGGGTAAGGGGGAGGGAGCTGTGCCCCCCCCGCCTCATGTCTCTTCTTTCACACGGGCTGCATGGCCAGGACTCCGGGGACCCGCTTGCTCCAGTCCCCGCTTCTCCCTTCCAGAGCAGGGTGCGTGTGTGTTAGGCTCATTCTCCTGCTTACCACAGGCATGTCAATTTCCCTGACGTGGCAGCTCCCACAAGTTGGGCCGGGGGTGGAGCCAGGACACCCGGGGTGCAAAGAGGAGCAGCCTGGTGGAACGTGCGTTCTAATCTCCTAACTGAGCGTGACTGACAACGCAGCAGCTACCTGGCAACCGGGGCCTTGATTGGCAGCGCTGCTTGCTCAGCCCCCCAGGAGGTGGGGGGGGGGGATGCACACACCACATTGCAGTGTGTGCTTGGCAAGGAGGCACCCTGTGCACTCCCTCTGGGTGCGGGAGGGGCAGGGGAAGCAGCACAGATGGGAAGTGTCGACCCGCAGGGACGTGCTGGTGACAGTGACAGGCTGGAGGTTCCCCGGCGTGATTCTCTCCCTGCGGCAGGGAGCAGTGTCGGGGGCTTTACAGTCGGAATTAAGACCATGAGGGTTTTAGAGGGAGGCAGCAGGTTCCGCCCCGTTCTGCCCAGTGCCAAGCACAACGGGTCCTAGGCTGAGTCCAG